ACGAGAAAATAAACTGAGAGAGAGCAACTTATGGGACACAGGGCACAGGTACCCAACAGAAGCAAAAGGATGCTTGTGAGAAGGGAGGGCAGTGCAGCCAGAGCATCGGAGGTATGTTGAGGGCATCATTCACCATGCACTCCATCACTGTACCAGCTTTTTCTCTTTTAGTTGAAAATGTGTTGTTATAATTTTTTCCCCATTGTTGCACATTTTATTTCTCCTCTTCCCTGGCCCATCCCACAATGCACCCGTTGTTCCAGATTGTTGTCATATTCATATAATACCTGCCTAATCATTTTTTCAGAACAGAGCAAGGAGACACTGCATCGTTCAAAATCGGGAAGGCTGCATGCCAGGGATGTATTCCTTCTCCACACCTTTTCAATCTCTATGCAGAACAGATCATCTGGGAGGCTGGGCTGTATGAGAAGGAATGTGGCATCAGGATTGGAGGAAGATTCATTAACAACCTACGTTATGCAGATGACACAAACCTACTTGCTGAAACTGAGGAGGACTTTAAGTGTTTGCTGCAGAAGGTCAATATGGATTGAAGCACAATATCAAGAAAACAAAGATTCTCACCATTGGGCCAATTAGCAGCACCATAATGAATGGTGAAGAGATTGATATTGTTAATAGCTTTAGTTTGCTTGGCTCTACAATAAACGCTCTTGGTACCAGCAGCCAGGAAATTAAGAGACAGATTACATTGGGAAAGTCGGCTGTAAGGACCTCTCCAGAGTACTAGAGAGCAATGATGTCAGTCTGGAGACTAAGGTGCACCTGATTCAGGCCATAGTCTTCACAATTGCTTGCTATGTGTCAGAGAGCTGCAATGACTATGGTTGCTAGAAAGAGAATTGATCCCTTGAGCTGTGGTGCAAAAGTGTTGAATACACCATGGAAGCCACCCTACTCCTTGGAGGCAAGGATTCTGAGGCTTCATCTGACATACTGTGGGCATGTTGCAAAGAAGGACTACTCCTTGGGGAGGGACATCGTGCTTGGAAGGGTGGAGGGACAGAGAAAGAGAAGGAGACCATCGATGAGATGGATTGATACAGTGACTGTGGTAATGAGGGCAGGTGTGTAAAGTCGGCACAGGTTAGAGCAGGTTTCAGGGCTGTTGTGTGTAGGGTTGCTATAAGTTGCAAGCAACATGATGACCTATAACAACAACAACAACAACAACAACAATCATCATATATTCCTTTCGGACAGTTCTTCCTTTCATCTATTCTAATGCAGTATTCGTTTTCTGTCCACCCTTTACCCATTCTCTCCTCAGCACCCCACCATGTCTGTCCTATTTTGTAACAGCAGTGTTAAGCAGTATTTGTCTTTTTGTGACTGAGATATTTCACTCTGCATAGTGTCCTCCAGGCTCTACCAAGTTGTGTGATGCTATATAAGTTCATTGTTTTTCAGTGTTGTTTAATATTAAATTATGTGAATTTACCATCTTTTTAAAGTGGATCAAAAGACTGTAGGATGTGCTGCAGCCACACCCAAGGAGTACACTAAGAAAGAGGGAGCCAAGAAGAGTCACCCCCAAATAGGAATCCAGCCCCAGAGGGAAAGTCAAGGGCAATCTAAGGATGTCAGCAAAGGACAGCCCAGAATGGTGATTGCAGGAAGCATATAGAGCAAACCATCTTGATGAAAAGAGATGCCATAGGAGAGATACTGTTGTTGTTGTTGTTATGTGCCGTCGAATCGTTTCCGACTCATAGCGACCCTATGCACAACAGCCCTAAACCCTACTCTATCCTGCGCCAACCGCACCGCCTCTGACACACCCATCCCGATTACCCCAATCACCGAATCAATCCATCTCATAGAGGGTCTTCCCCTCCTGCGCTGTCCCTCAACCCTCCCAAGCATGATGTCCCTCTCCAAGGACCCGTCCCTCCTGGCAACATGTCCAAAGTATGTCAGACGAAGCCCCAGAATCCTTGCCTCCAAGGAGTAGCTTGGTTTAATCCTCTCCAAGATGAATCTGTTTGTTTTCCTGGCAGTCCATGGTACATTCAGTACCCTTCTCCAGCACCACAGCTCAAAAGCATCCACTCTCCTTCTGTCCTCCCTAGTCATTGTCCAACTCTCTGATGCATAACAAGCAATTGCAAATACCGTGACCTGTATCAGGCGCACCTTAGTCTCCAGAGAGACACTGTTGCTCCTGAGTACCTTTGAGAGGTGTTTCATTGATTATGCAAAGGCATTTGACTGTGTGGATCATAACAAACTGTGGCTGACTCTGAGAAGAATGGGAATCCCAGAACATTTAATTGTGCTAATGCGAAACCTATACTTGGACCAAGAGGCAGTAGTCAGAACAGAGCAGGGTAACACTGCATGGTTCAAAATTGGGAAGGGTGTACGCCAGGGATGCATCCTGTCTCCATACCTTTTCAACATGTATGCAGAGCAGATTATCCGAGAGGCTGGGCTCTATGAGGAGAATTGTGGCATCAGGATTGGTGGAAGATCTATTAACAATCTCCGTTATGCAGATGACACAACCCTGCTTGCTGAAACCAAGGAGGACCTCATGCACTTGCTGCAAAGGGTCAAGGACTGCAGCCTTCAGTATGGACTAAGGCTCAATGTCAAGAAGACAAAGATTCTCGCCACTGGACCAATTAGCAGCATCAGGATGGATGACGATGAGATTGAGAGTGTTCACAGCTTCAGTTTGCTCGGCTCCACAGTCAACACTCTTGGTACCAGCAGTCAGGAAATCAAAAAGCGTATCACGATGGGAAAGTCTGCTGTTAGGAGAGATACTAGCAAGGGGAAAAAGGAATGGAGTTGATCTGGTGTTTTATGTGTCAAACCTAGGTCAGACCTATTGCCATTGAGCCAGTTCAGCTCATGGTAACCCCATGTGTTAAAGATACCTCCTAGTTAGTGTCGTTTGGCAGTAAACTGTGGAAGTAGACCACCAGGCCTCCCTTCTGTGGCTCCCCTGGCTGAATTCCAACTATCAACCTTATGGTGTTGTGTAAAACTCTTAGAAAGGGCAGCCTGTGTTAGCAAGAGGTACAGTGAAAACCAAGTATATGAAAAAGAAAAAATTAACTCTCAGAGTGTGGAAGTCGGTGAAAGTCATATAGAACTCATCTCATGTGGAACCTATACCTGGACCAGGAGGCTGTTGTGTGAATGGAGCAGGGGGGCACTGCATGGTTGGTTTAAAATTGAGAAAGGAGTGTGTCAGGGTTGTATTCTTTCTTCATAACTCTTCAATCTGTGTGCTGAGCAAATTATCTGAGAGGCTGGATTCTGTGAAGAGGAATGTAGTCTCATGATTGGAGGGACACCCATCCATAGCCTGCGTTATGCAGGTGACATAACCTTGCTGGCTGGAAGTGAGGAGGACTCGAAGCATTTGTTGCAGAAGATCAAGGAATGCAGCCTTCGGTATGGATTGTATCTCAGTGTCAAGAAAACAAAGATTCTTACCACTGGACCAATATCATTATGATGGATGGAGAGGAGATTGAAACTGTCAACAGCTTTATCTTGCTTGGATCCACAAGTAACACCCTTGGTACCAGCAGTCAGGAAATAAGGAGATGTACTGCACTGGAAAAATCTGCAGTCTCCAATTTATTGAGGAGTAATAATGTCAGTTTGAGGACTAAGGTGCATCTGATTCAGCCCATAGTCTTTCTGAGTACTTACTATGCATGCGAGAGCTGAAAATGAATAAATATGACAGAAAAAGAATTGACGCCTTTGAGCTGTGGTGTTGTAGAAGACCACTGAATATCCCATGGACGCCAAGAGAACAAACAGCTATGTCTTGGAGAGGGTGCAGCCAGAGTGCTCTTTGGAGGCAAGAATTATGAGATTTCATCTATCATACTTTGGCATGTTGCTAGAAGGTGCTATTCCTTGGAGAAGGACATAATGCTGGGAATGGTGAAGGGTCAGCGAAGGAGAGAAAGACCCTCAACCTGGTGGATTTGACACGGTGACTACTGCAATGGGCTCTTGTGTGTGAGGAAGTGTGAGGATGTCACAGGACAGAACAGGGTTCAGATATTTTGTTCATAGGGTCACTGTGAGTCATACTTGACTTGATGGCACCTAACAACAACAATAACAACTCATCTGTGAATAAGGATCACACACTGAAATGACCTGTTGCTGTTGGATTGTTTCCAGTTGGCAGTGATTGTACAGATGTGAGTAGCACTGCTCCACAGTTTCCAAGCCTGTGAATCTTTTTTTTTTATTTTATTTTTTATTTTACAAAGGCAAGGCTGGTGTGCCCAAGTTTATTTAAAATATTACATCACAGCAGACGGACTCAAACGGCTCCACGTGGTGTTTTGAAATTCATTCATCCCAACTGTGGGCTGAGTGACCTGCAGGTTGGACAGACTGCAAAAGTCCAAGACTTTCAGCATTTCCTTAGTATCAGGATCTACTTCAATGATCTCCTGATCCAGGGCTGAAACCTCTGGTACATAATTCTATCTCCTTTCTCTCTCCTCCTCCTACAGCTTAATGGAGATGCCTCTCACAGGCCCTCTCTGAATCTGCTTCATCAGGTGTGTGACATAGCCTGCTGTCTTGTTCTGGAGTTTTTTTGTTGGGAATAATGACGATCTCCTCACACACGCGCTTGTTCGTGTAGAAGTCATTACCCAGGCGCGTGTAGTATTTCTCAGTGGTGACCCGGGCCGCCGCCTTCGCAGTTTTGATGCGAACCTGGCCCATGTTGGCAGGTCCCTAGTGAAAGAGCAAGCCTGTGAATCTTATTGGAGGCCGCATGCCACATCTCTCTCCCACAGAGCCGCGGGTGGGCTCAAACCATCTACCTCTTGGTCAGCAGCTGAGCATTTTTTTATGAAGAATATTTTAATCCACTTGTTTTCTGTATACCAGTTTAGAAAAAAGTATTCACATTCCTAGGACTTTTCTCAAGTTGTATATTTTAAGCTTAAAAAGCACAAATGTTCCGTTTTATCCTGAGAAAGTCACTGCTTTTGAGTTGGTGTATCACAATATGGCACATTATTTAAAAGAAGGTCTTTCCTAGGAATCAATTTCAATGTATTGTGGTCTGTGTGAATTCCTTGTATAACAGAGGTCCTGAGTAACATTTCAACATCAGATCCCATTTTCATTAGCTCTTCTATTTTCTTGGGAGATGTCTCACTTTTATTATTTTTGAATTCTTCATTTATCTTTAGTCTGGCTGCTTCTAGTGCTCTCCCATAATTTTTAAAAACTTGTCTGGTTCTGTGCATTGTTTTAAAGAGTTGTAAAACCCATGGTTCTCCACGCCGCAGCTGCCACTTTTCAAACCCTCGAGTCGCCCCACCTCTGAGCAACCTGCAGCTGAGCATTTTAACAACTTCTTTATCAAGTCGTGGGATCCCACTGTTGAGGAGTTGGGGGCAGGGAAGCTGGTGAAATGGCTGGGCTGAAAGAAAGCTGAAGCAGCCTGTTTGTTAAAAGAGGAAGACAGTGGATCCGATCTCAGCTTGATGGCTCACATGGTGATACACTCAGGTTTAGAATGATAAACCGGTTGCTGTCAACTCGATCCCAAGCCGACCCTATGTGTGTCCAGAATAGAACTTCATGCTAAAGGTTTTCCATGACTGACTTTTCAAAAGTAGAACAGCCAGACTTCCTTTTAAGGTGCTTCTGGGTGGATTGGAACCTCTAACCTTTTGAGTAGCAGCTGAGAGTATTACCATTTGCACCTCTTGCAACTTCCCCCATTGGCTGCTCCCACTGAGACAATTGTGACTCAGTAGGACAAGTTAGTTCTGCCACATAAGGTTCCAAGATTCTTCCATTAATGGAAGCTGATTACCACAGCTTCCTCCCATGGAGAAGACAGTGGGTTTGAACTGCGAGATTTTCTGTGAGGAGCCAAGCACTTTAACAATTGCATAATCAAGGGTCTGTTGTCATTACTGTTAAGTAATGTCAAGTTGACTTTGGCTCAGAACTACCCTATGCTCCATAGAAAGAACTGCTGCTCTTACCACTCGAAGGGACCCTCCAAGGCTTACCCAAGGCTGTAAATCAAGGGAGGAGACTGCCCATCTTTCTGCTGCAGGGCAGTTGGTTGATTCGAACCAGCAGCATTTTGGTTAGCAGCCTAGCATGTTATGCCCTCTCCTTCCTAGAACCATGAAGATGTACAAATGCCAGAAGAGTCAAAAGGGACTTTCAGTGACGTGAGCTGGATAGGAATGGGTTTGAGGAGAGATGGGGCAAAGAACCTCTTTTTTGTTTTTTTTTTTAACTTAATTTTTAAAAAAAATTTTATTTTATTATTTTGTGTGCATGTACTGTCAAATCATATCTAACTGGTACAGGAGGAAATTGTCCCTCCTTCTCCAGTTGAGCATATGGTAGACTCGAACCTGGTGCCTCTGGGATTACAATGCAGCTTCTCGCCACTAGGCCACCAGAGCTCCCCTATTTTTGTTTTATTTTTTAAAAAATTTTTATTTAGTTGGGGGAGGGATGGGCGGGGAGAGAAGTGCAGCAATGAATGAATGAAAATCCAAAATCTCTGTAAATGCTCTTTAAAATTATTAAAAAAAATTCCTGAAAAAAATTTTTTTGATTTGTGCACATAGAAAAGTTCATGAGGCGAGCTCTGGTGGCCTAGTGGCAGGAAACTGCACTGCAATCCCAGAGGTGCACGGTTCAAATCCACCAGATGCTCTGCTGAAGGAGGAACAATCTCCTCCTGTACCAGTCAGATCCAACTTGACGGTACACACATAAAATAAATAAATAATAAAAAATTTTTTAAAAAGTTCAAAATCAACACCAATCTGAAAAAAAAAATAAGAAAGAAAAGTTCTTGAAAGATTGTTGTCAAGTGTCATCTAGTCGGTTAACACTCATAATAACCCTGTGAAGAGTGGATCTGAACTCTGTCCTACCCTGTGCCATGCTGATCATCTCTGATACACTGGAGCCCACCAGAGATACAATGTAACATCAATAAGGGTTTAGAATGTAGCTACTGCCTGGGAAGAGGATTAACCTTGGGCTTCCCCCTCTGCTGATCTGAGCCTTTTAGAACTATTTGAGTTCCTAAATGATAAATATTGCATATATTTGAGTGATATTGGTATTCACTGGACTTCCTTTTATGTGTATGTATATTATCCTGTCACTCACAACATTGTATTTAGAGATGGATCTAGAAATGACATTTTAAACTGAAGGTTTTGCCACACTTTGTCTTCTCGAGCATAGTAGATCATGATTGTCTGATTCAAAATGCCCTGCCAGTCCATCTCATTTCACCAGTACCAAGTATGTCAATATTTATATGTTCCATTTCTTTCGTAACAATGCCTTGAGTTGTGGTGCTGGAGTCTTAAGAGTATCGAACATAGACTAGAAGAACAAATAGATCTGTCTTGGAGAGGGTGAAACCAGATTTCTCTTTGGAGGCAAAGATTTTGAAGCTTTGTCTCACATACTTTGGGCACGTGGTTAGTAGGGACCAGTCCTTGGAGAAGGACATTATGTTTGGAAGGGTGGAGGGACAGTGCAGTGGAGGAGGACCTTGGATGAGATGGATTGACTCGGTAACTGGGGTGATGGGATTAGATGTGTCAAAGTCAGTGAGACTGGTTCACGACAGGGCAATGTTCAGAGATGTTGTACATGGGATCACTATGACATAACAACAACAACAACAACATATGATAGAACTCATATCATGTAATGCAAAAATTAGTTGGAGATTGAAAAAACACTTAAGGTTAGGTGAAGGGCTCCCTCCCACTTCATTTTGCATCCTAGCTTTTCTCATGTAATGTTTTCTACAATATTTATTCCATGGGATTCGTTCCATTTTTTACAATGTGTCATGACTCTCATTCATTCTATTCTGCTTGTGCCATTTTTAGTACTCTAGTTTCTCTGTACCCTGACTTTCTCATCTTTGTTATAGGGTATTTATTGACCATCCTGTTGTTGTGGACCATAGAGTCTGAACCGACCCATAGCTGACCCTCCTGTGGGTTTACAGAGGCAGTTAGTTAATCATACGGGAGGAGATTGCCCATCCTTCTTCTGCAGAGCAGCTGGATTTGAACTGTATGCCTTTGGGATTGCAACTCAGCTTCTTGCCACTAGCCCACCAGAGCTCCCCATAGTCCATCTTACAGATTCTTTTTTAAAGGAGTTCATTACTGATGAGTTCTGGTTGCCTAGTGGATAGAGAGTTGTGCTGTCAATTCAAGTCTGAATCCAAAACCCACTGGAGGGTCAGCTATGAGTCAGTTACTCACAAGTGATATTCTTTCTTTTGTGAGACAATCTACTGTTTCACTTTTAAAGGTGAACTCAAGGGATAATGTCAGTCTAAGTTTTAAAGAACCTCTGACGGTGATCCTCTTAGGGATTCCTCTAATCTTAACTAGTCCAGTAAAAGAATCTTATGAGAATTTGAACTTTGTTCCACAATTTCCTCTAGTTTTGTCAGAAACCTACTCCTCAGTTTCTACTGCCCAGTGTTTCATATCTATGATAATAGTAAGCAATCTGACTATTTTGCACATTAATGATGTAGGGTCTGACGTGTGAGCTAGAAGTAACACTGGCTGTGGATGGTTAAGGCTGTATGTCAGCTTGGCTGGTATGCAATGATAAAATTTGGAAATTGTGTAATGATGTTATCACCTTCCATTTTGAGATTTGATGTGGTCATCATCCATTGTCACGTAACTGCTTTTCACCTGCTCTTTGTTGATAAGTCAGAGGTGGGTATGTATCGGTCCTGATCAGCATGGTTGGTGGTGTTGGCTGGGCACCATCTAGTTCTTCTGATCTTAGGATAGATGAGGCCTTGTCAGGTGTCTTTGTGAAATGCTTCAGATTCTCTGGAGAAGGAATGCTGAGCAGAGGGGTCTGACATGTGGAATTCTCTACTGCTGTTGATTTATTTTATAGATCTGGGGTCCCCAGCTCCCCTATCTGAGAGCTCCAAGGGCTGCAGCTCTGCCCACTCCCTCCCTAAGGCAGGTTTTTCTTTCCTCTGCAGGCCAAGCATGTCAGGACTCCACCTGGTGAAGAGGGGCCGTGAGCACAAGAAGTTGGATCTGCACCGAGACTTTACTGTGGCTTCCCCTGCCGAGTTTGTCACACGCTTTGGGGGGAATCGGGTCATTGAGAAGGTAGGATGTGCCCTGATGTTCCTGGGTAGAGGGCCAGGATTGGGTTAGAGGCACCTCTTTGCAGCTGGAGGTGGAGAACCAGCTTCTGGTGCATTCCTCAGGGGAGGCTGTAGCCGAGGGCTGGCACTGACATACAGGAGTTTTCACTCTTGCAGTAGCCCAATGGACTGGGCATTTCATGGAGAGACTGAGGCCTCTGAGTCCCATCAGGAGACTCCTGCAAAGGGTCCTTGGGTATCTCTGTCAAAAGAGTTCGCTTTTTAGATTATTTGGATCAAATCTAGTTACTACCATCAAATCAGTTCTCATCTACAGTGATCCCTGTAGTAAAGTAGAACTGTGCTCCATCGGATTTTCAAAGTGTATTTTTTTGAAGGTGGGTTGCCAGTCCTTTCTTCTGAGGCACCTGCATGCAGCCTTTTTTTATTTTTAATTTTTTAAATGAATTTTAATGAAAGTTTACAGAGGCTTCTTGTTGTTGTAAACTGATCCCTAGCTGACCCTCCAGTGGGTTTTCAGAGGCTGCAAATTCCACAGGAGGAGATTGCCTCCCTTTCCCCATCCCCACCCCCTGCCCTGACTCCACTGCACAGCAGCTGGATTTAAACCACATGCCTGAGGACTGTGAAATTCAGTTCATTCTATGCTTTCACTTACATTCTGTTCCCAACTAAATTGGCAGAATTCTCGGTTCATAGTGTATATACTATCTTCCTCCTCTGTTACTACCGGGAGTTGAGTTCATGATTCAAGAGCACAGTCATCTAGTCTGTCAGATCTGTCCACAATCTCAGGCACCCCACCCCCCACCCCGCCCATCCTCCCAATACTGAAAGGCCCCACAATATTCACTTCTGACCTGCTTGCTTCCATTGTTCCTTCTGGTTCAGAAATTTGCTAGAGTGACTCTCAGAAAGCTCTCTCAGAGCTGCCTTGTCTCACGTGGGTTGATGCCTGTCATAACCAGGAATCCTTAGGACCATCCATGTCTAAAGCCTTTATTATTGTTGTCAAGTCAGACCTGACTCATAGCTGACCCATCAGCAGTAAATGGCCTAGGAGGAGATTGCCCATCATTCTCCCCCAGAGTCTTTGAGTTGGCAGCACAGCTCCTTACCATTTGGCCACCGAGCTCCTAGTACTTAGCACTTACTACTTAGTACATAGTATTCAGCACCAAGTACTCAATAAAATGTGATTGTGATGGGACCAAAGGAATAGAAATCATGCATTTGATCATTACCTGACTTTGAGCACCTGTTCTGTGCTGACAGAGAGTCCTAGGGATATGGAGACCAATGCCCTGCAGGCTCACAGGAGGCTCTGAATCCCCAGGGCACCCCCTCAGCCGGGAGATGTGCAGCCCTCCCTCCTTCCTCTTTCCCCCCCACCCAGGTCCTCATCGCCAACAACGGCATCGCCGCTGTCAAGTGTATGCGCTCCATCCGCAGGTGGGCCTACGAGATGTTCCGGAACGAGCGGGCCATCCGCTTCGTGGTCATGGTGACCCCCGAGGACCTCAAGGCCAATGCAGGTACCAGGATGGGGTGCTCCTCCTGTCCTCAGCTGTCCTCCCCATGGCCCCCAGAGCAGAGCCCCAAGACACCTTCCCAGACCTCACACTTATTTATTCTTTCTTCTGCACTGACAACAAGAGCAATCTATGTGCTTTACAGACGTCTGGACGGCCACCATGTGGTGTGGAAATCCTGTCTTTGAGACTTGTCCACATTCGCAGTAGATTAATGTTTAGGCCTGTCTTGGAGAGGGTGAAACCAAAACTCTACTTGGAGGCTATGATTTTGAAGCTCCGTCTCACATACTTTGGGGACATGGCCAGGAGGGACTGATACTTGGAGAAGGACATCATGCTTAGAAGGGTGGAGGGACAGCGCAGGAGAGGAAGATCCTGGACGAGATGGATGATACCGTAACTGGGGCAATGAAGGTTGGTGTGTCAGTGTCAGTGAGACTGGCTTAGGACAGGGCAGGCTTCAGAGCTGCTGGACATAGGGTCCCCACGGGTCAAAGGTGACTCAATGGCACATAACAACAGCCCCCCAAAAAACCAGACCATCACGTAGCATCCACCTCAACACTGCCCACCATTGAATGTCCAAAGCCGTAAATCAGTGCAGAAAGAGACTGTCCATCTTTCTTTTACGGAGTGTCTGGTAGAATCGAACCACCAACTTTTAAGTTTTGTTTACCACTGAGTTGAAACCAACTCAGCTGACTCTCAAGTGGATTTTCAGAGGCTGTAAATAGCATGGGAGCAGATTGCCCATCTTTCTCCCATGGAGCAACTGATGGATTTGAACCATGCGCCTTTGGGTTCGCAGTGCGGCTCCTTAACACCAAGGCACCACAACAACTTGACCTTTAAGTTAGCAGCCTCATCCATTATGCACTATCCCAATAGGATCCTTTCCCCCCCTTGCAGGTTTGTTTGTTGTTGTTGTTTTTTTATAAAAAAAACAAACCAGTTTTAAACGGATTTATATATGTATGTGTCTCTCTGTGTATAATTTCAGTCATTCATTTATTGTCTGTATTTATTTCTACTGAAATAGATCATTCCATAAATGACTATTGGACAACTCACTTTTCCCTAACAATTTTGTCCAATTACAAACCCATCTCCATGAACCAGGCAGAGGGAACTTTTAAAAACACAACTTAGAGTAAATAGCCTGACAGCCCTTCAAGAAGTTAGGCATGGAACTATGGTGTGACTCAGCAATTCAACTCTCCAGTGGATGCTCAAAAGACTTAAACATCCAGGACCCAAACAGAGGCCTGTCTGCTAATGTTCATTGCCGCCCCTTCACAATAGCCAAAAGATGAGAACAGTGTAAACGCCCTTCAGCAGGTGAATGGATAAACAAAACGTGCTCCATCCACCCAGTGGATAAGTCTGCCATGAAGAGAATAGCAGGTCTGGTGCACTCTGAAAACATTATGATGAGTCAAACACTATATAGTCGGTGATCCCACTTAGTGTGAAATCTCTAAAACAGTCAGATGCATAACCAGAGTTTATTAGTGGTGACCAGGGGTGGGAGGAACAGAGATTTATAAAAAAAAAATTAAAAATTTGAGTGACAGTCATATTGGGTTTGTTTTTTAAAAAATTATTATACTTGTTTATTTACAAAATTTGGACACATTATTTTCCTGGACAGATTCTTCCAATTTCACTCTCCCATCAAATTATACAACCCTCCTCCCCCTGCACATCATCATCCCTCTGCTTCCACCCTCCCCCCTACCTTGGATCCTTATACTCATTCTACAATAATGGTTTTATACAATATTTGTCCTTGTGGGATTGAGTTCAGTCAATATAATGCTCTCCAGTTCCTCCCAAGTTAGGTAATAATTTACAAAATCATTGCTCCTGCATGCTGTGTGGTATTCCATTGTGTGAATGTACCATAGTTTCTCAATCCATTCATTTGTGGTTGGACATCTGTGCTATTTCCATGTTCTTGCGATGATGAATAATGCTGCTATGAGCATTGGTGAACACATATTGGTTTTTAATTCAATCATTCATAGACAGTTTGTTTTAGAATGTTAATTATGTTTGATTCACATAATTAAGTGATTATAAAGTTGAATCAAGCCTTTATTTTAAGGCAACATATTTTATCTTTCAAATTTTATGGTGTGAGTTGAGTGGAAGTTTACAGAGCAAATTGGTTCATTCAGTCTACTTGATATGACACTATGATTCCCCAACGCCGTACCACCCCTCCTCCCCTCTCTGTTTACCACATCCACTCCTCTTTCTTTGCCCCTTCTTCCCACTGAGTTCTATCGCTGGCCCAGTGTTGCCCTGTGGCTCTCACTTGATTACTTTTTCTTAGGAGTGTGTCCCTCCTTGTTCCTCCTTGGTGTTGATATTCACTTACAGCCTCTCCATTGTTTGCTGGGAAGTCCAGCCATGGGGATGAGCTCAGTTCAGGCCTGAAGGGTGGCTCAGGGCCGTAGTCTCAAAGTTCCATCAATCTCCATCAGACCAATAATCCTGGCCTTTAAAAAAAAATTCTGATTTTGTTGGACATATTTCTCCCACTCTATCTGGGTCCCTCTACAGTGTTCTCTTTCAGTGTAGCCAGCACTAGTAGTCGAGCACCCTCTAGGCTTTCTGGGCTCAGGGTCATGGTAAATGGACACTTTTTTTTTTTACAATTAATCAAAAACATTTTTATTTTATTATTTTTTCATTCATTGTTGCACATTTTGTTTCCATGTCCACCCCCCACCCCAGTTTGCTTTTTTTTTCTCTCTCTCTCTTTTTTTTTTCTTTTTTCTCTTTGAGAAAAAAATTCTTTCATTAGTTTCTAATTCCCCACCCCAACCCTGGTCCACTTTACTATGCAACTCTTATTCTGGACTGTTGTCATGCAAATAATACCTAATCATATATTCCTTTTAAGCAGTTCTTTCCCTCATTTGTTTCAATGAAGTGTACATTATCCCATCTTTTCTTAGTTTCCCCACAATCCCATGTCAGTCCTGTTTTATAACAGTAGTGTTATGCAGTATTTTCTCTTTTGTGACTGAGATCTTTCGTTCAGCATAATGCCTTCCAGGGTCACCTATTTTGTATAATATTTCATGAGTTCCCTGTTTTTCAATGCAGCATAGTATTCCATTGTGTGGATATACAGCAGCGTCTCTATTCATTTGTTTGTTGTTGTGCACTTGGTTTGTTTTCTCCTCTGCTATTGTGAACAAAGCTGCAATAAACATGGGTGTGCATATGTCTGCTTGGGTGGCAGTTATGGTTTCTTGAGGATGTATTCCCAGTAGTGGAATTTCTGGGTCAAATGATATTTCTATTTCAAACTTTTTGATAAAGCACCATACTTACTACCTTCCATAGTGGTTGCACCATTTTGCACTCCCACGAACAGTGAATAAGGGTTCCAGTTTCTCCACAACCTTGCCAGCATTTGTTGCTTGCACACACACAACAAAAAAAATATTTTGGTCTTCAAACTGCAAACTGTTGATTTTTCTTCCAAGATAATCATGATTAACTTATAAAAATTGGCATTTAAAATTTATCTCAAAACATTTCCCTGTAACAGGAAACTTAGCATTACAGAATTTCGAGAGTAAAAAGTTAAAAAAAATTCCATTTTGTTGCTTTTATAAAACAAAAGCTAGCATTCAGTCAAGAAAATCCACTCATACTTCAGGTCCTTTTCCAGGAACCAGCATTGTTATATTATTTACATTGAACAGAATCTAATCTAATGTAGTAATTCTTCTGCCTTCTGATGATTTCAAACTCAGTGACGTCTTCCAAGACCAAATTGATGAAGTCATCAAAACCTAGAAATGTGCCAACAATTTCCTTACCACTCTTCATCCCAATCTGAATCCTTGATCCTATGCATTTGTCCACAAGTCCTAGCAATGGGTTGGTGGTAGCCTTAGCCACCATGACTATGCCGGAAGTGGCCTCTAAATGGGAACTTTAAAGGATGAGGGGGAAAAAAATTGCAAGTGGACAGTAGTGATGATTGTATAAACAGTGGTTAAAACATCACTGAATTATAAACATAGAGTGGTGAAGATGGCAAATGTTTGGAAATGTGTACCTTACAACAAGAAAATCAAAACAAAAATCAAAGCAGAGCTGAGGTCCTATTATCTCTTTCCTTGGTGCCTGTGTTGTTGCTGCCTCTGTCGGCAGTCTCCCCTCTTTCACCAGCCTGTTCTTGGATCCTGGTGGGCTGTGGTCTTTCTGATTTGAGGGTCTTGGCACAAGATCCTTGGCACAAGTGGTGCCTTTTCTGCTCAGGGTACTTCCCCCCAGCTCACAGCTGGGAGAACTCCTCCCCAGCTTGCCCACAACCACTCAGCCTGCTAGACACTCAGTGACTCAAACGTCACTTCCTCTGGCGCTGCTTTCCCAGAGAATGCTGGGTGTTTCCTTCCTACCCATGACCACAGCCTGCACTTACTATTTCCTTGCCTTTCCAACTCAAATTAAATCCAAATTTGATGAGCTCTCTGACTGGCTCACTTCCTAACCTCTGAAACCTTCACCATGGCCAGCACATGTATATTTGATGAACACTGGAAGCAGGGGTCCAGAAGGGCCATCTTTGTAGGATTCTTGTTGCATCTGTACCTGAGACTCCAGGTTGTCCATTCACAGGATCTTGGAGAACTGCCAGGCTCAGCTGTGGCAGCTCTTGACTGTGGAGTGGTCTGATTTTTCTCAGTTCAAAGCCCTGTTCTGTGAATATCCTGTTGTGTAATCTTGGTCTCACTGAGGGATTTTTTTTTAGGACATATTCCTAGAAGTGGAATTTCTAGCTGCTGCTTGTTGTTGTGTACCGTCGGGTCAGAACCGATCCATAGCTGACCATCTGGTTGGTTTTCAGAGGCAGTTAATCGCACGGGAGGAGACTGCCATCTTTCTCCTGCAGAGAGAGGTGACCTTGAACCACATGCCTTCCGGGATTACAGCGCAGCTTCTTGCTACTAGGCCACCAGAGTTCCCCTTTCTAGCTTAGAGATCTTAAATATTTTAAAGTTAAGATATTATATTGTTTAATGCTAACATGATATTAAGATAAACTTTAAATCAATTAAAAAAAACTCACACAAACAAAACAAACAGATCATTTCTAATTTCATTATCCTGCCAGCTTGCTTCCATTTTCTTTGGCTCTTTCTCCTCCAAGTCCTTTAATTTTAATCACATGTCCAAACCATGCCCATTGACGTCAAGTAGATTCTGACTTATGCTTACCCTCCAAGGCTGTAAATCTTGACAGGAGGTGACTGCCCAGCTTTCTTGTGTGGAGCAGCTGGTTGTGGGTTTGAACAGGTGGTTAGCAAGCAGCCTGTTACATTATACACTGGGCACCAGGGCTTCTTTGGAAACTTATTTTTTTGAGTGTTGTTGTTGTGTACATCGAGTTAGCTGAGCCTCTGGCAGGTTTTCAGAGGGAGTTAATCATGTGGGAGGAGATTGCCCATCCTTCTCCCGTGGAGCAGCTGGTGGACTCGAACCACAAACCTCAGGATTGCAATGCCGTGTCTTGGCCACTAGGCCACCAGAACTCCTTTATGTACGAGGGCTTGCTTTTTTTTATTAAAAATAATAGTCCATAATAGTCTCCATAATAGTCTATGTGTTTCCTACTGCCAAAGGGGCTCTTTAGAGTAGTGAGAGAAGATCTTCACCCTGAAACCCACAG